CTGAACCCAGAGACATAGAGTAGCCACAAGGCAGCCCAAAGTCAAACCAGCAGGTGTTCTGATAGTTTTAATGAGTTCGTGTCACACAGGCAAATACTGGTGCACTACACAGCACTACGGGTGTTAAATTCTGACCCCAGCACTGGGAGGGACACACAGAGCAGCATGACCCAGCTGTGGAGGGATGCGAGAGATGTGGTTCACGTTCACCCTGGGTAGCACCCAGCATCCAGCTGTGCCTGGAAAGCCAAGAGCCTGCTCAGGGCCCCTGGGCCCAGCCACGCAGCTGGCAGTGGCAAGTACAATCCTCTCTATATAGGCATGGGGGCTAAAAAATCCCTGGAGTGGCTTGGGTACTGGGCTTTTCGTTAACAAAGACGTGTCGGAGGAGGCTACAGCAAGCTCTGTGGCGAGGAAGTTGCTGATCCCAGGCCGTATCTCCTTCTCTTTGCGGCACGTAGCATTTGCCATTGGTGCCTGTACTGGGGCCAGCTGCTTCAACAGCCAGCCCCACCTTCTCTAGGTAGTGGGGAAGTGAGAGACAGTGGCCTTTTCCACCCCTAGCTTTGCGGCTGGCAGACCCACTGGAGAAGGATGGAAGACACACTCTGTTTGGCTAAACCTGCTTGTAGGCAGGGTCCAGGAGGCCAGGCCAGGCTGCATGCAGGGGCAGAGGGGAAGATTGAGTTGGAAAGCCCTTGTTAGGCATGGAGCACAGCTGTGGAAGACTTATCATCTCACTAAAAGCACTATGCAGCACATGCAGGCTGGATACATGGGTACAAACACAGCGTCCTTTATCCTCTCCCCCAGCTCCTGTTCCTCAGTCAGGGCTCCTCCTCAGAGCATCCTTCTACCCTCCCCCTCTCCGAGAAAGGCTTCGTTTCTGCAGAGCTGAGCCCAGGTGAAACACAGGTGAGGCCTCCTGGGCTGGGAGCCCATCCCTCCTTCCTTCCCTCTGTGCTTGCATCAATCCCGGGGGAGGTTGGGTGGGGGGATTTTTGTGGCTGATGGCTCCACGCCCCAGATATCTCGCCCATACTCTGTGATGGTCCTGTCACTGGAGAACTTGCCCGAGCATGCGATGTTCCTAATGACTTTCTTAGTCCATTCCCGGGGGTCCTGGGAAGAGGAGAGGCAATGTCAGGAGTCAGTCCCTCACCTGGCTTTTTCCCAGCTCGCAGCCTTGCAGGGGACTAGCTATGCACCCTTGGCTGGTTTAAATGCTGTGGTGTGGGGCTGCAGAAGCAGCAACACCTGCTTCACCCTGCCCCACGTCTGTGAGAAGGTCTCCACAAGGAGCACACTCATCCCAGCTCCCTGAATCTCCTCACTGCACTTCCATGGCCAAGGGCCAGAGGAGGTTCGGGTTGGATATTAGGAAGAATTTCTTTACTGGAAGGGTTGTCAGCCATTGGAACAGGCTGCCCAGGGAGGGGGTTGAGTCACCATCCCTGGAAATGTTTAAGAGACGACTAGAAGTTGCATTGGGGGACATAGTTTAGTCGGTTGATAGGGCTGGGACAGAGGCTGGACTTGATGATCTTCAAGGTCTCTTCCAGCTGAAACTGTTCTATGATTCGATGACCCCATCCCTCCCCCTCAGTACCAAGCTTACCATAAACAACTGGTCCACTTGGCCTTGGCATTTAATGTAGGCCTCGTAGTCGGCAAACACCTTAAACCTGAAACCCAAAGCGGAGTAAGGGTTTGCCCACTGTGAGGTCTCAGCCCAGCACAGCCACCTCTCTAGACAGGGACTCAGGCCAGCAGGAGGTGCAGGCAGGCCAGGAGCAGCCCAGCAAAGGGACTGCTCCCAAGACTCACCTGTCATGGTACATGAGCATGTTCACAACGTCCTTGAAGCAACCGGGGTCTCGAGGGGAGAAAAACCCACTGCTGATCTGGTCGATGGCTTGTCGCAGCTCTGGCAGCCGCTCGTAGTACTCTCGTGCATTGTACCTGCGCCCAGCAGAAACAGGCTGGTTGGAAGCAATGCTCTCCTATAGGACCCAGCACCCAGAGAGTGGCACCTGAGGTGTCTGAGGCAGGGAGGGCGGGCAAGGACATCGTACAGCTCCTGAGTGAGGGGCCTGTGTCCCTCAGAGTGCGCTGCCAGTGGCTCTGAGACCAGCTGCAGTGACTGAAGCGCTTTGTACCTGGCTTCACGTCCTGCGCTCGGGGCAAGCTGCCTGGGATGCCTTCTTGATGGACCACCACGGACCAGCCCAGGGCAGAAGCTGCCTCCAGCACTCCCTGCCCCTGGCTCTGTCCTGCTCCAGAGCTGCCCAGAGGGGAGGGTATTCCTCCCAGAGATCATGGCTTTCCCTTACAGAGCTGGAACCTGTATCCCCAGCTAAGCTCTGGCATACATTGGGTAAACCCCAGCACCAACCCTCGGCGATCCAGGGCCTCCACATCCTCCACACGCATGCCAAAGATGAAGAGGTTTTCTTCTCCTGCCTCCTCAGCCATCTCCACATTGGCCCCATCCATGGTACCGATGGTGAGGGCCCCATTCACCATGAACTTCATGTTGCCGGTACCCGAGGCCTCTGTGCCGGCTGTGGAGATCTGCTGGGAGAGATCTGCTGCCGGGATCACTGCCGGGTGCAAGAGAGGTAAGAGTTAATCCTCAGCACGCTGCACCTCCCCACGGCAAAACAACCCTGGGCATCTGCTAGTGGCCCTGCTGACCTCAACCTCAGCCCAGACAGTGCGGCCGGCTGTGGGGCCAGAGCCGGGCTCAGCCCTCCTGTGACCCCAGGCAGCTGCTGTCACTCCTGCATAAGGCTGGCTTCCAGCCCCAAGTGAAGCCCTCAGGCCCTTGCTAAGGGAGCCAGGCAACCTGCCATGACAGCCTCTCAGGCCAGCCACTTTCTGGGCTCATCTGGGACATGCCCAGCTCCTGACAGGTGCTTACACAAAGACCAGACATACCCTTTTCAGCCAAGGATACCCGGTAGTTCTCCAGGAAGATGACCTTGAGCCTGTCCCCCACATAGGGATCGTTGTTGATGACCTCACCGATGGACGTGATGAGCTTGATGATCATCTTGGCCATGTGGTAGCCAGGGGCCGCCTGAAGAAGAGCAGCCCAGAAATGGTGAAGGCTTTTAAGGAAGGGAGAGGTGCCAGCATGGGTCCTCACCACAGGGAGAATCTGGGCCTCGCTTCTGCTGTTCACATGGATCAGCAAAAACACCCTACTGGGAGGAG